TCAAAATAAAAAAGAAAAATTTATTGATTATGCTAAAGATTTATCTATTGAAACAAATATTCGTTTATCAACAGTTATGACTAATTTAAATGAGTTACAAAATGGTTATGATACAAATATATCTAATAAAGCATCACCATTAGTTGATTATTATAAAAAAAAATTTACAACATCAGATTTAGCTAAAGCTTATGGAATTTGGCTGCGAACTTATCGATCGAATTGATTTTCTTTTTTTTGTTGGTAGAAATTTTGTTATTTAATATATGAAATGTTCTTTTTTTTTTTTTTTTTTGTTTTTATTTTATTAAAATATTAATCTTGAAAAGAGTAACAGAATTTCATTGACCTTTTTATTTTTTTGTTTTTGATACTTTTATTTTATGAAATGTTTCATTTGAGTGCCTATTATTAATGAAGTAATACGTGACTAAGCTTTTGTAAAAAGAATTTCTAAATAATTACTCATCAACTTTTAAATACTATATTCACCTCTGCAGCAATCTTTTTGTTTTTCAAAGATCGTCAATAAGATTCTTTAGATCAGTTATTTTTATTGCAAAAAATAAATACTGTGATGATTTGCACTACGTGGTCACAATCACATGGTAACTAATGCGCAACATAAATTGATTTTACATGCATACAATCCAAACGCGTATTAATACCTTTTTATGTATTTTTATGTATCATAGTCCATGCTTTTTTTCTTATATTCTTCATGATATATTTTTCGTTATTATTGTCGATCAAAAGCGACTTCGTATTTAAATTATACATATATATTAATGACAGCTTCAATGTGTTTACCAGTAGATGTGAATATATAGATAACTATATATAAATATATAAATATACGTATTTGACGTGATGTAGGTGTAATTTTTGTAAAAAGCCCAAAGAAAAAAAAATAACCATTATAACAGCAAGACAATATATTTTTAAGTACATATCTATACAATCACTGTTACTCATTAAACAGGTTTGGTATTGCGATTCTTGTTTTTTTTTCTCCACATTGATTTTTATAATACCAAGGATTAAAAGTAAATGTTATAGAAAAAAAAAGAAAATAAGGATGATTTATTAATTAATTCAATAAAGTGTGAAGAAAGAAAGTGTATATGAAAATCGAAGAAATACAACAGCTGTTACTTTTTTCATTGAGATGACCTAGATAGTATGTACAGGCATGATATATGAAACAAACATTTTACTAAATATATCTATATATGTTTATCTATGTCGAGGTAGTTTGAGAAGCAGTTCGTGTTTGTTCTATGGATATAATAGCCGGAAGGGATGTAAATAGGAGACAGAAATAAAAGAGAAATGATGATGCATGACTCATGACGACTACTATTACGGTCGTAATGGCTTGGCATTCAGCCATCAGCTGTCTCTTCCGTTTTTCTCGTATCTTTTCTTTTTTTTTCCCTCGTATTTCATTTTTTTTTTCTTGCTTATTAACAAATATTTATTTTGATAAAAATATAACGAATGAAATATGTTTGCCATGTATGCTTTTTTCTTTTTTTTTTTTTTTTTTTTTTTTGTACACGTATTTGCTAACGATTGTTAACATTACATAACTTATTTGATCATCTGTTTTTATTATTGGTATTTGTCCTCGACATCAACATATTTTTTTCATTCTACGCAGTTCTTTTAGTATTATTTTTCTCTGGTATTGTTCTCGATGACCTCAATGTAATTATGCAAGCATGTCATCTTCCTTTTTCCGTCTTTTCTTCACACTGAAAGCAACAATTACAGCAGACTTTCTCGACGTCGAGTTCGACCATAAGGTCGCATAGCAAAAGAAGACAAGATGGAGTGCTTATGTACACGCAAAAGAAAGAGAGAGAAAAGAAAAAAAAAAAAAAAAAGGAGAAAACAAATGCTCGAACGCATGCGAATAGAAAAAAAAACGCGAATAACAGCGCACCACTGGTGGGAGGGAGTGTATATGTAAAGACGATGTGCGGGCAATGTAGAAGGGAAAAAAAAGAAGGACATAAAACAGACCAAGAATGTGCAGTACATTCACACACACACACCATCATTACTGCTATCAACCACACACGTGCATTTTTTCGGGACGGACATTTTTTTTCTCTCATTCTCGTTTTCTCTTCTTTATTCTTACACGAGTACTGACATGGAGTTCATATATCGTCTATTTTTGTGTCTTTTTTCAGAACATAAAATACTTTCAATAACAACAACATTCAATCTCATTGATAATAATTAATTTGTTTTTGTTTTTTATGATTAATAATTGTCAAATGTATGTTATAATGACGTGTTTTACGTGACAACATTCAATTGAAAGAATATAAAGGTATTTAGTTAAATCTTATGTTGTTTTTTTTGGAAAACAAATACACCCGATTTTACATCGCCTGTCCTCATTTATATATTATTTTTATCGTTAATAAGACATCTAAATATTCATACCTTTAATCTTATTTTATATTTAAATTTATTCTAAAATAATAGATTTGATAGTTGTTATTCTTTTTTTTTTTTTGGAGGGGAGGAAGAGAGAGGATAAAAAAACATTCATATACAATTCAGTATTAAAAGAAAAATATTTAGTATCATTTTGCGTGATTATGAATAAATCGTTTCATATTTCATTCCTTTCATATCTTTAAATATATATGTATATATATATATCTAATGTAAGTGATGTCATTATGCTTGTGTAACTTAGTTAGTTTTGCTGTTATTATGATTGTTTTCTTCCTTGTTCAACAAGTTGGAATATAATCAAGAGAATCTTGTTATTGTCGTCATCATGTGTCGTCTGTCACCCTTTTTTTTTCTTTTTCATACTCTTATGTCATGTTTCATTTTGTTTTTTTCAAGGTTAAATGATATGCACCATTTGTAGGTTATTCATCTTATATAATAAACATAATTTCGATCATAGTGAAAAAGTAAAACTAATGATTATTATTCTTTTAAATAGTGTACTTGTTGTACTGATTATTGATATTATTGATTTTCATGATAGTTTAAGATTTGCAATTGCTCTTTAAAACGTATGCATTTATTGACTCATGATAGTATATTGTGGGAAGGCTGATAGGTTATCAGTAGTCATAGCGAGAGAAGAAAGAAGAAAAAAAAACGAAGAATAATCAAGTTGATCTATGTTTATGACAAAAAAAGAAAGAGCGAATACCTTTCTATTTGCGTTTGTTACATGAGAAGCTATATGTGTGTATGTTTGAAAGAAATAAAATATAAGAAAAAAAAAGAAAAGGTTTTGAGAACCTGTTGCTCTTTGTCGAGAAAAAGATGGGAAAAAAGCTTTTAGGAATTATTTGTCTGTTGATTAAGAAGAAGATTATATTTAGATGGTCTTTTTCTTTCCTCTCGAGTTCTTATTTTGTTCGATAGACATATTTTTTTGTAATTCTACATCATGTTTTTTTTTCTTTTTTTTTTGTGATGATTAGATATTTCGTCATTACATTGATGCATTATCTCAATGTTACTGTTATTGTCATTGTCATAGAACGAGTTAGATATAGATATATATCTTTATATATAGCTCTAATTTGTGCCTTTTTTTTTCCTTCGTCATATTTTGTATGCGTTTAGCAAACATAGATATTATAGTGACGTGTTTATATATTTTTAGAACTTCTTGACCTTTTCAACAGTTTCATTTTCTTAAAAATACTATTGCAGAAGAATATATGTTAAGATTAATATCAAACTTATTTTTGTAATTTTCAATGAATATTTACATGAAAATAATAATATAGATTTGTACAGATGAAAAAAAAAGATAATATAAATTGCATGTACAATGATGTGAAATAATTATGGAATATGTAATAACTTTATTATATGACGATTTTTTTTTTCAATAAAATACGGATGATTATTTATTATAGAGTATATTTATTAAATAGAAGATGAAGAAAAAAAAAATTTTCTTCATTTTATCTTTAATATTAATCATTAAATCAGAATAATTTATAAATATTCTTTTTATATATACATAAAGAAAAAAGAAGAACCTTGTAAGTTTGATTCATTTTATAGTATTGATATTGAGTTTGAAAATAACCATTATAGTTCTAATTATTCTATCTATTAAAAAATTTCGACGTGATCATTATGATTTCAGTAAAAAAACTAAATATCTAATCAAGTCATTGAATTTTTAATGGTTCATAAAATTTTCATAATTTGACATGTGTATAGCAGAAAATTCTAAATATAACGTTTTTTTTTAACGCTCGATAAATTTTAATATTCCTCGTGTATTATTGACCTAGGTAAAAAAATTCATGTTACAATCTTCGAATTGTTGTTAAAAATTCTTAAATTTTTATAAAATTATTTAATATTAAATTGACTTCAAACTCTGTTAATCATCAATCATAAAAAATACAACATCTTTTTTTTTCTCTTGTCATTCTCAACAATCATAAAATTCTACAATCGATAAATGTTTTTTACGGAAGATTGCTTAGCAAAAAAAGAAAAGAAATCGACGAGCATACATATTCAAATATGTAGACATGAGTCAGAAACGTAATTATTTACATTCGTACCTGCCAGTTTTTTTTCTACTCTTATTTCTTTATGCGTTCGCATCATCCTGCCTTTACTATATAGGTATGAACGTGCGTGTTCTCTCTGTCTCTCTTCGATTTAATGTTTGACACGTTTAGTTGCATTGGTGATATAAAAAAAAAAAAAGGAAGGCTAAGAACAAAAAGAAAAGACGTAGTAGTGATAAAAGACAGAATTAAGGACGTGTTAGTCAGTTGAATAGAACTAATAGTTTGACCTTGTCAGTTGTTTCTTTTTTTTTTATATTGAACTTTAAATATTTATTTTTATTTTAAGGTTATTATCAACAAAGTGTATTTATTTATTAAATTTTATTATTGATTATCCTCGCATAAGAGCGAGGTGTAATATGCGAGAATGAGTTTCACATCTGACGAAGTTAATTATCTTATTTATCGATATTTATCCGAATCAGGTATGATATTTACATCATTTTTTTTTGCATGATTATTTTCATCATTTTTTTTTGTGTGTGTGGATGTTATGACCTTTACCCTTCAATGTTTTATTTTTCTATCGTACTGAAGATAAATATTAGACGAAATACAAGAGTAAAGAATCTTGAAAGGCAAGTATGTTTATTTATCGAGGTAAATATGTCAGAAGAAAAACAAAAGAATTTAG